TTGACCGGAAACCATCTTGTGGGTTCGACGAAAAACGTATGGAGCCGATCGGGGTGGTGGAGCTGTCGGTAACAGTGGCAAAGCAAACCCTGAAGGAGAATTTTGTAATTGTGGACATCCACCCATCTTACAACTTGTTTATAGGTAGAGGTAGATTCACATGATGCATGAGGTGCCATCTACCCTCCAAGTGATGAGGTGTATAAGTCCGAACGGAAATGAGGTAATCGATATTTGGGGAGAACAAGCGGCAACGAAGGAATGCTATGCAGACACCCTCAAGACCAAGACAAAGGAAAAGGGATTGGGATAGATAAAAATCCCGAATAGCAATTACAAAGCCCTCTGTCCAAATTTCTTAATACTTCAAGGCAACACTTGAAGTAGTGCAGGTTGACTCGGGAGGACGAGACAGTACGACTCGGATCGGATCCCTACAGACCAAAGAAAAGAAGAAAATATTGATCCAGGTCTTAAAAAAGAATTGTAAACGTCTTCGCTTAGAGCCATCTAGATATGGCAGGAATAAACCCAGCAATGGCACACTTAGTCTAAACGTGGATCCGTAGTTTTGACCCGTATTCGTAAGGCAAAAGCAAAGGAGGTTCGCCCCACAAAGAAACAAAATTATTTCAAAAGAGATCAATCGGCTTTTGGAGGCAGGGTTCATAAGGGAAGTACAATATCCCCAAGGGTTGTCCAATGTAGTAGTGGTGTAAAAGAACGGCAAATGGCGGGTCTGCATAGACTTCATCAACCTCAACAAAGCATGCCCCAACGAAAGCTATCCCCTCCCAAAGACAGACTAAATGGTAGACGCAACCGTCAGGAACAAATGGCTAACCTTTCTTCACGCTTATTTAGGCCACAACCAAATCCCGATGGATCCGCAAGACGAGGAGAAAACTTCCTTCATAACCGAATAAGGAACCTATTGAGACAATGTAATGCCGTTCAGACTGAAAAATGCCAAAGTGACATATCAGTGGCTGGTAAATGAAGTGTTCGAGAAACAAATAGACAGACGACATGGTAGTTAAGAGCCTAAAGAAGGAAGATCATGTGAACCACCTCCAAGAAGTCTTCGATACGTTCAAAAGAAACAACATGAGATTGAACCCGGCAAAATGCTCCTTCGGTGTGTCCTCGGGACAATTTTTAGGGCACATTGGCTGCCTTCTTTGCCTGCTCGGCGGACCTATGTTCAGCAAACCTCGGTTCCGTGGCCTTCTTCCCGAAGTTTGGTATCTTCATCATCGTTAACGAACGAGCCTCTTTTGTAGCGTCCTTCAGAAACTCTAGGATCAAAAGAAGATAGATAAAAGGAACGTTATTCCACACCTTTTGCTTCAAATAATCATACCTCCCCTTTACCATGAAGTAATTAACAAGGTCGATTTATACCCCCAAATAATTGCAGATGAATTTGAAAAACCTAACAACACAACCCTCACAATCACAATTGGCCTTCTGGGATTTGGGGGGAAACATATGAGGGGTAGGTCAATAACCCGAATTCGGTTGGAATTTGAAATTTGTATGAAAACTTGGTCTTCCAATTCCCACCAACAATTATGATATCACTTTTCCAACCCTTCTTGGAGTTAGGGTTGTCCTTGCACATCACTCTATCCCTGATCGGGAAGAAATGATAAGGTCATCTTCATAACGGATCATATTAACTCGATAGCAGAGAAAACAAACCAAGATGGTAAGATCGAGGTCACGCCTCTGATTTAGAACTAGAAGAGTTGAGATGATCCTAAAGAAATTTGGGTTCACCTACAAAGGGGCAAGGTTCAACCTATTTAATACGGCATGGTAGAAGGAATGTAGAGGGGATCTAAGTGTTTCTACTTGGATGGAAGAAAAATCATTTTGTCACTCCTAATACCGTCACCCTTCTAGTATTTCCTTTACTTGGGATACAATTGGAGGGAGACATCACCGGGGATCTCACACTCCTTCCTCGGCAACCGGAGGTCAACCACCATCGTTCTAGAATCATCTTGAGAGACTACGCTACTACCCCCACTGATGAAGAAAGAAGAACATAAGAGGAATTGAGAACAAGAGAGGAGAAAAAGAGGACCAACCTTATGAAGGGAAGAAAGAGATCATTAGAGCAAGACACCAGCGGGGAGCACCGATCACCAAAAGCTCTTCAAAAAATTGCAAGCAAGACCAAAAAGGAAGACTAGATTTGCATAGTACATGTGAAGAAATATATATATATATATATATATATATATATATAGTATGTGATGGCAATAATGATGCAAACTAAAACGGCGAGACGCACGAAGCCCTAAGCACCAAGTTTCGAGGGAACATAATTGTTGACTGCTCAAAATAAAATTTGAGCCGCTCATTGTAATACCCCTAATTTTAAAAGGATAGTCTCAGTATTTTAATATTTATTAATTGTAAATTTGGTTTGTTTAATTGTTTATTTGCATTTAGTATTTGATATTTGATTTATTTCAATTAATTGTTCTTATGTGCATTATTTGACTTATTTAAATTGTTTAATTATTGTGTGTTATTTTTTTTAATTGTTTAATTGTATTATTTTTATTTGGAATTCACTTGTTTTAATGGGATTAAATTTGTGTAATTAGATTAAAATTAGTAACAGTAATAGTGTTAAATAGTAGAGTTTATTTTCTTTTAGAATGCACGTTGTGGCCGACGACGTAGGATTCTTTTCCATTCTTGAGAGTTGGATTTTATTTTCAGTTATTCAATTTTAGTTGGAATTTTGGTTAGGGGTCCTGGATTCCCGAGATGTACTCTCGGAGGTTTTGGATTATTGGATTTTAACGTTAATACTTTGAGGATGTTATTTAATTAGTACTCTTTTCAGCCTTAATTTTTATTTCTTAATTCAATTTTGTATTCCGTGTTCGTTTTAAAATATTAATTGTTTGATATTTCCTCGGGTTTGGGCTTGGGCCTGATCAACCCGTGTCTCGGATCCAAGGGGTATCTCACTCATCTCCACACCTTAATTAAATTTCCTCCTACATTTAAAATAGAAGGAAAATGGGGGCAAAATGTGGAGGGAAAGTCCCCACCAATGAGAATACAACAGCTTTGCAATGAAGGACAACACTATTAATTATGAAAAAAAAAAAAAAAAAAAAAAAGGACAACACTATTCGTCTGACGCGTATCAAAGTTAACAGGACTATCCTTGAATCGCACTGACCCGAGAAAGTTGACCGAACGTCACATTTAGATTATTGTAAAGAGGGTTCATAGGCCAAATAGAGGCCCAAACCGTAGTAAGATTTGTACCCCAAAGGACAGGGCCCAAGAGGGACCTTGTTAGGGTTCTTCCTTGTATATAAATGAAAGGACCAACCCCAAAGAGGAGAGGAGGGGGAGAGAACTTCCAAGGAAAGAAACTCTTCCTCTTCTAAAATCGAAAATGGGTTGTAGGTATGAGTGAAGGTCCATGAAGCTCTTTTTGGCTGTAAATAGTCAACGGAATTTCTTGTACCTACCATGTTATTTGCTGATGACATCGTTTCCATTATTGAAACAAGAAAAAGAGTAAGAGGCAAGTGTTGAACTGAAGGTTTAGAGGGAAGCTCAAAAGGGTAAGATAAGTAGGAATAATCATAAATATATGGAGTGTAATTTTAGTAAACATACAAAGTTACAAATACAAACAGGAAAGTAATGAAGATTGAGGGTCAGGAGGTACAAAAAAGTGAACATTTTCATTATTAAGGCTCAATTATTAATAATGACGAGAAATTGGAGATGATTAATCATGGAATCAAGACAAAATAAGTTAAATGGAAGAGTGTATTTTGTATATTGTGTGATCCAATTATCCAGTTTATATTGATAAGAAAATTCTATAAACGGCTACTACACCGGCTTTGCTTTATTGGTCACGATGTTAGGTAGCTAAGAAATAACATATGCATAAAGCGAGTGGCAAAAATGCGAATGTCGCGATATATGTGCGGCACAACAAGAAATGATAGAATTATAAATAAGCACATTTGTGAAATAATTGAAGTAGCTCCAATTGGAAATGATTTGATAAAAAAAAAATGTTTAATATGATTTGGACATGTGCAAAGAAGATCACTAAGTGCGCCAATTAGGAAGAATGACCGTTCATGTTCAGTGTAATGCTAGGGGAAGGGGAAGGAGAAGACCAAAGTTAATGTGGGTAGAGGTAATACAGAAGAACATGTTAACATGTGGTTTAACAGAGGGGTTTTGGTCCTTTTGGATGGATGAGATGGAAAAATAAGATTCATGCAGTAGACTCCTGGGAAAAAGGTTTTGTTGAGTTAAGTATGGCAAAGAGTTATTTATGTTTAAGTTCAACAATTATTTAAGAGCCTTGTATAGTTGTATGTAAGAATTTCAAATAACATGGTGATATAAACCCAATTTCAATAAACTAATCTTTTGTTTAAACTTTTAAATCTTCATTTCAAATCCATTGATTTATCCAAATGGAGCCTAAATTTTACTAGGGCGAACTTAAAAATAAAGAAAAATCAAATCAAAACCAAAATAAAACCGTGAAAATAAGAAATTTGTCCATCCTTACTTCTATCCTTGAGAACAAAGTCATCAACACGAATTTTTTTCCTACTACAAGTTATTTCCCCTATTATATTTTTATTTCTTATAATCATTTATAATAACTTCATCTCATGTGAATTTTGATTTGTCTCTTCATCTCTTACCTTCTATACATGTTAATCTTCCTACACCTTACTTTAATACTACTGAAGTCAAATTTCTCTTATTTTATTACCAATTGGCACCACTTTCTAAATTCTCTCTCACAATTTGATTATTAATCATATCTATTCTAAATAATCCTATCAGTCTTAACATTAATGAATCCTGAGTTGTTGTTTCAATTACCCAAACTAATCAATTTTTTTGTACTCCTTAGCATTAATAATACAAGAGAGTAGAAAAAGAGCAATTCAGAGGTTATAAATTGGAAGAAGAAATACCCGAAGATTGAGTGGTGATAGGAGGAGACTCGAGCTCGTGCCAACTCATCAACTCGAGGCAATTTCTTCTTTCGAGAAACTTTGCCTCGTAAAACTTTGTGATTCGATCATCATCATCAATTGATGCAGCCTCTAGAGTAATAAAGTCAATTATACCAGCAACCAGTAGCCACTTCGCGCTTACTACCCGCACAAACTCAACCCTTTTTGAATCGTCTCTTCTTGCTTCATTGATCATGGATTGCGAGTTGGGCGAGAAAAATCCGACGATCATCTTTGTGAGCGTCCGGGACGTCCAAGGGTTCTCCTATATGTTGATTAGCGTTGTCGAGTCTGACAAGTTGCTCCAGAGTTATGTCACCATAGATCAAAGTTTCTCTATTGGGACATGGACATTGGACATTGGGCCCTAAGGTTGTACCGGTGGTAGCGGTGGTGGCGGGAGGGGGCAGAGAATGGCAGAGATGGTGGTTGATTAAACCGAACGTGATGCCTGCTTTCTTCGTGTTCCACTGATTTCTGCGGAGAAGAAGCCGTCGAGCCATCAGACCACCACTTTTTTGGGGCTAGGGTTTGGTTTTCTTTTTGGTTATTTACGACAATTTTGCACCGAATGAAAAACCGACATTAACTTGGTAATATATTATTGGCCGTACCAAGTCTCCATAAATGCATTACATTTTGTTAGACAAAAATATCTTTTTGTAATCCCTGCTTTTCTTTCGCCATTTTCCTGTGTGATTTCTTCACCATTTTCTGTCTATTGTAGGCTGTATATTTCCTCTATTTTTTTGCCAAAAATTCTTCTCTTTACAAAATTATTTTTTCACTAAAAAGACTCTAATTGAATTTATTTATTTATTTTTTGATTATAAACCATTGTTGAAGCAAACAAAACAGAGAAAAAATTTCACTCTAAGAAAAATAAAAGTGAGAACAGTTGAAAGTTCGATAATAATTAACGAGTTTGAAGGTTGGCTTCAAATGAAGACCCAATACCGTAATTACGATTCACTTATTGCATCTCCAATTTTTAAGTTCTTCCTAACTTTATCATATCTGCTTGTTCACTCTCTCCCTCCATTCTTAATTGAGAGATCTCACTTTCCCTTTCTCTATATCAAAATATGAAATCTTTGCTACCCAAACTCCAGGCTACAAAGCATTCACAGATCTAATAATGACTTCAGAGGCTAAAAAGATGTTTGCCCAAAATGGTCAGTCGAATAAAAGATGTTATTGCAGTTTCACAACTATTACGACGGAGAGGTTGTGAAATTGAAGACCCGCAATGTTGCCGGAATATGGGAGAGATGCATTATTGCTTTGTTTGGTCTACGAATGGGGGAGAGATGTATTATTGCTTCGTTTGGTTACTTTGGTAGAGAGAGCAAAGGATTGTCCAATCTTTGTGAACAACTGTATTGATATATTTATATTTTAAAGTAACCCTATAATAATATCTATGTAGGTGTCATAATATGTCGATTTTTTTTAGTCGGACGAAATTGTACTACTCTTTAGTAAATAACAGGAGGTTAAATTGCATAAAACATTAAATAACTGTAATAACTTATGCCAAGTATGCATTACACATTTTACCACTTCTACATGCAGTCATGTATAAGATATAGGGTGAATGGTCACCTTGTGCATGTGAAAGGTCCAATGAATCTTTGTACGGCTGGAACTCCAAAGAATTATGGACGTTCATTCTATAGATATCCAACTTGGGAGTTATGAATCCATTGAATGCCCTTTTTTTATTAATACATGTTATTGTCATAAGGGTATTATAACTATATTCAAGTATTTAATGTTTTGGTCATATGCCCCGTACATTTATATGGTTGGATGACATGCACCGACGTGTGCAAGTGGGTGGTCATGTAGATCAAGAGTCGGATAATGTAGTTACTGTTATGCAACTTCAAGCAAAACTACATTAACTATGATGGCTGTTGTTGTCTTATTATAACTATATTATTTATGTTATTAATGTTGGTTATTATAGCTATGATGTACTCCTTCCGTCCCATATTTAGTGTCGTCTTTGATAACCGTGACTCGCAACAATGTGAGTCACGGTTACCAAAGGCGACACTAAATATAGGACGGAGAGAGTAATATTTATGTTTTAAGATACTTAAGATGTGTGAGTCACGGTTATCAAAGGCGACGCTAAATATAGAACGGAGAGAGTAATATTTATGTTTTATGATGCTTAAGATGAGTTTTGGGAGTGAGACTGCTCCTGTGGTGAGTTTAGTGTGTGTTTGAGAGAGAGACATGGAATATGTAATCTCTTGAAACTCATGTCTGTATAGTGATAAAAAAATTTAAAAAAAGTTTGATAATAATTTGTTGACCAATTTTTTTATAATCTTTTTCAGTTCGATATTGAAACAATATCTTTTAGAATTGTCAAAACAATATTCAACACTCGTAGGTTTTACAATTTCTAATTCAACAAATTTGACAACAAATCAACCCTCCATCATTTTAAAAAAAAAGATAAAAAAATTGAAAGGAGTGGTATGGTAAACTATACAAAAAAATTACCATCAAGTTTTATTTTTTAAATTTAAAAATAAATAAGTCTTAAAATTTTTTTTTTAGTAAATTAGATGTACTCTTGCTAAATTAGGTATAAAATCAAACTTTCATTTTATAAAATTAGATAAAAATAAAATTTAATAAAAAGGAAAGAAAATACATTTTATTGGTTTTTATAGATTAGTTAAAAAAATATTGTAATATAAAGTCATAATATAATATTATTAAGTAAACTAAAACTTAAAATAAACTATAAAAATTTAAAATAAAATTAAAAATTATATCAAAATAAAATTAATAAATAATAAAATTATACTTTATATTTAATAAAGTTATAATTGTTCAAACCATATAAAACAATGTACTCCTATATATAAATAATAATGTATTAATATAATTTAAAATTTAAAATTTCAAAAACAAATCAAAACACTCTTTACCAAATATATTTTATGTTTTTATTCCAGTAATTTTGGCTACATCTTGACTCTACCAAACATGTTTTATTTTCATATTTCTTGAAACGAAAGCCAAACATGTTATACATGTTTCTGTTCCGAAATTCCCACTACAAATTTTTGTCGTCAAATATGTTTTCGTTTTCAACTCAGAAAACTCCATAACAAAACACTTTGCCAAACATGTTATATATGTTTCTGTTCCGAAATTCCCACTACAAATTTTCGTCGTCAAACATGTTTCCGTTTTCAACTCAAAAAACTCCATAACAAAACACTTGTTTTGTTTTAGGCTAAAACAAAATGCCAAAAACACAAAGCGTGCCAAACAAGGCCTAAGTTTACAGCTTTCTACCGTTAATATTTACAGAAGAGGAATAATCTCGCCTCCAAGCGACTCAATCCTCTGTTTTTCACTAAAAAGGGAGCCGAATAGTTCAATCTCAAGCCAACACATCAATTATACCTTCTCATCTAATGATGGGCTTTCTCAGCTAAGTACGGCGAGTCGACTCTCTTTCTTCTGTTTGTATAGATGACCTATCTCTTTGATTTGATCTGCGTTCCACTCCCCCCAAACAAAAAGGCCATTATCCTGCTCAGTTAAATAAGCACAGATGGACCCCCACGCCCCGTGGTGTTTAGTTTCAAATTCTTCTTCCCCAAACTCAGCGAACTTCTCTTTCAAGACCTTAGTAGCTGTGGATCTCGTCACATCTCTATTCAAAATTCCAACATGATAATTATACCCACCTTTTTCGTGCATTTCCTTAGTGACAACAATGGATCTGCACGTGAAGGACAATACAATTCGATCAATAACGATCCTCTCAGTGATATTCCTCCCTTCGGCGTGACGCAAGGTTAGTATAATAAACTCTTGTTTAGCATATCTGCGCTTCGTCTTCTTCCTCTTCTTGGTGTTCACGCTGCGATTATCTGGGCTGCAGCTGGCAATTGGCAACATAATCAATAATTTTTTAATCTTAAAAACAATAATAGTAAATAATAATAATTTCTCAAATTTCAATTATAAAAGGAATGGGATGTTTCCTCTCAAGATCATATTATACCAAAAACAAAATTAGTATTATGAGTTATGACTGCAATGTAAAAAAAACACAAGATATTTGTTTGAAGTAATAGCACATGGAAAGCATTTTTTGTTGATACTGCCACAGCATATATTGGAGAAACTTTGTCCTGGCACAATATATCTGGACTACAAAACTAAAATAATTAGATAACCAAAACAAAAGCATCAATCACCACACACAACAGTTAACAATCTGAGCAACCGTACATAACTAAAGAATCCATAATAATAAAAAAATTCCTAACACGACCAAACCCTTCACACAAACATAACACGGTCAGTCCACTAAAATAAAGTTAAATGTAGCAGCAAAACACCATACTGCTATTTAATTAACATCTGAGCAGCAGCAGCTGTTTCATCTACCCGACTTCAGCTCAATATTTACCTAAAAAGATAAAAAGGAAGGTACAAGCTCACCTATCTCTGCTTATAAACGACCACTCTAATCATCTTGATTTACTGCTTTTCTTACCACTACTTTTTTTTTTTGTTTTCTTTGACCAGTGGCATTGATCTAATGTGTCATGTCCCAAAATTTAAACACAGGACCACCAATATGAAATGTCACTCATTATATTAAAATCCAAAATAATTTATATCAACTAACAAATTTTCATCGTTGTAGCATGGCTATCCTCACATATGATCACTCGTGCTAAAATAGGAAAAACTAAATGTGTCTCTAGTCCATCAGGTGCCTTCTCCACATACCAACCCATTCTACAAATCACCTCAAAACAATATGATTTTCCACATGATTCCAAGCTAGGGTTTGTAAGCAATATATACATATGCGTTTATATATATATATATATATATAAACACTGTTATACACATTTAAATTTAATGAATTTAAAATCAACATGTAATCACGAGTTATTTAACATATTTCAAATATAAATCCATATACGGTATATCATACAAACCCATGTACATATAAAGGGATGGCGATGGGGTGGTTTGGGATGGGGGACCCCAACCCCATCCCTATTTTAGCATAGCTCCCCCAATCCCCATCTAAAACTATTTATTAAACGGGGTCAAGGCGAGGACGGGGCCAGTGTTGTGAAAGGCGCACCTAAGCACACCTAGGCTCAAGGCGCAGGTCTAGCGCCTGCGCGTGCCTCGCGCCTCACTGATTTTTTTTTTAAAACTATGATTATACTATTTCTTAAACCAAAAATGATACTTTTGGCAACTTAATAAATAAATAAGAAAGCCCAAGCGTACGAGATAAGAAACTTTTGTTCAAAAGAATAAACAAATAAGAAAACCCAAGAGAAAGTGTCAACCAAACAGAGAAAGAGTGAGATCGTGAGACGAACGACGAAGTCACGTCAGTTCTTTCTTCTTCTTCTCTCTCTTCTCCTCTACCCCTCTCTTCTTATCTTTATTTACATCTCTCTCTTCGTCTAATTCTCTTCTCTCTGTCTTTTTTTTTGGGGGCTTGGTTTTTTCTCCTCTTTTTTTTTTAACACTTTCTCTCTCTTCTCGTCTACTTTTCTCTCTTCATCTACTTCTTCTGTCTCTTCGTCTTTTGTTTTTGGCTTTGTTTTTTCTTTTCTTTTCTTGTTAAAAGTTTTTTTTTGTTAACAGATTTATTTGTTAAATGCTCTGTTTTGCCATTCAAAAAAACAAATTCTGCTTTGCCTTTCAAGAAAACAAATTTGTGCTCTATTGTTGACTGCTTGTTTAGTTGATGGATTTTCTTTTTTTTAATTTAATATTAATTTTTAGAGTATTGATATGAATTATGAGATATGAATGTTTTTATGATAGTTTAAATTTTCAATTGTGCGCCTCACTTCAGTCAGGAGCGTGCCTCGTCTACGTGCCTAGGCTCCAAAGGACCTCTACCGCCTTGGGCCTTTAATAACACTGGACGGGGCCAAGTTTTCTTGAGTACTTTTGCAATTGTATTACGAATCTAAATAAAGTAAATAATGAAACAAATTATCAACCATGGTAATAATTCATTTTGAGGTTCTTAATTGGAAATTGAGACTTGGGCGTGTGGCATTCCATTGGGAAGGAGTGGGATGAGTTTTCCAAACATGTTAGATTCAGAGTTTGGGAAGGGCGAAATGTTCGGTTTTGGGAGGACCCCTGGTGTGAGAATCGTCCATTATGGAGAAGGTTTCCTAGATTGTTTGGTATCGCTGTGGATTGTCATGCTATGGTTGTTGACTACCATCACCTTGATAGCGGTAGGTTTTCTTGGGATATTCAGTTCCGGCGAGCTTTTCATGATTGGGAGTTGGATGATGTTTTTGAACTCTTAGATCTTTTCTATCGAAAGAAGGTGGATGGTACTGGGGCGGATATCTTGATTTGGGTGCCTTCTTCACGGGAGTTTTTTCAGGTCCGGTCTTTTTTTGTATTTTCGGTTTTCAGGCCTCCTCTTACCCGTGGAAAACGGTTTGGCATTCGAAGGCTCCTCTTAGGGTGGTTTTCTTTGTTTGGATTGCTGTTTGGGGTAAGATCTTGACTTTGGACAATTTAAAGAAGAGAAGACGTATCATTGTTAATCGGTATTGTCTATGTAGAACTGATGGGGAGTCTGTGGATCACCTCCTCCCGCACTACCCAGTGGCTCATGATTGTTGGTGCCTTATGTTGGGTCTTTTCGGCATCCAGTGAGTTATGCCTCGGACCACACGAGGTCTTATTGATGTTTGGAGAGGGCTAAGGGTGGGAACTCGTGTCTGCGATTTCTGGAGGGTGACTCCTTTTTGTATTTGGTGGGGTTTGTGGAAAGAGCGTAATAGAAGATCTTTTGTTAGGGAGGAATTACCCATTGGGGTTTTAAAGTACTCCATTATTTGTTATCTTTTTTGTTGGGGTATGGGAAGAGATTGTTCTTCTACAGAGGAGATCATGGATTTTTTGGGATCCTTAGGTCCATAGGTTTCCTCTTTCCTTGGTTTTAATTGCTTTTTGTTTTCTTTGGTTTTTGTTCTGCTATCGGGATGCGTTCCCCTTTTGAAAGCCTTTAATACAATTTACTTATCGAAAAAATAAAAATAAAAATTGGAACTTGAGACTTAGAATATTTTGACCTCTCAGAATCGAATAACCCAGGGTTTGTTTAATATATAGCTAATATGTTTTAGTATAAAAATAATGTATAAGGACACATTTATAATTTCTCAACATGGGGGATGAACCGCGGGGGGTTGACCTTTCCCCATCCCCGTCCCATAACCATGCGGGTTTTCAATCCTAACCCCCATCACCGCCCCAAAAACATTTAATATGTAGCTAATATTTTTTAGTATAAAAATAAAGTATAAGGACACATTTGTAATTTCTCAATATAGAGAGGGGGGGTTTGACCTTTCCCCATCCCCACTCCGTAATCATGTGGGTTTTCAATCCTAACCCCCATCACCGTCCCAAAAAAACATTTAACCACCCCCATAACTGTTCTAAAAAGGGTGGGGTGGGGCAGGGTTTTTGCCATCATATATTTGCATGTATAGTGCCTTTATTATTTATTTTAGAATGAATTAAAGTGATCTTCCTGAAATTTTTGTCAAATTCCAAACGGGTAGAACGTTTGAGGTTTATTACTTTAACCTCTCTTGAATTGGCACGTGTGCTCAACAGCACCCCTGCTACTTTCTTTCAGTCAAAACTATTAATTTTTTTTATTTATAAAATGACCATGTTACCCTTTCCCTGTATGAAAATACAATAATAGTCTTAGTTTTGTAATGAAATGACAAAAAAAAAAAAAAAAAGATGAAGAAGAAGAAGAAGAAGAAGAAGATATGGATTAAAATGCCCTTAAGGTGTTCATTATTCACATTTCTCTTTCTTCCCCAATTTCTTCTCACATTCTTCCCATCTCTCTATCTTCTGCAATTTCTCTATCCTTCCCATCTCTCCACTTTCATCCGAACACTACAAATCAATAACATATTTCATCACATCCTAGATGAGCAATCAAAAGCCAAAAATAATAAGTCCATACCTCCCAAAAAAAGAAAGATTTCGAGCTCAAGTAACAGAAAACTGAAATTCTACAGAAATGGGTTACCACATTTTCGTTCAATCAGAGATGTTTCTTAGCTATTTTGAACCGATTGGTACAGAATAGAGAACAAGAACAGACAATCCTTTGATTTGGCTTTGCAAAGGCTTTAAACTATTCAAAACGTATCGGAGTCAAATGAGACTATGAAAGTGTGTCGAGAGTATATATGTTGCGAGTGTTTTCAAATCAGTGTATTGAGGAGACAACATAAGAGAGAGGTAGAGAGAGAGAGTTTGTGTGTTTGGGAACCAATTCATCCGGAAGATTTTACACTGTTTTTGGGTGCAAAGGAGTGGAAATAAGGTAACAATGATATGGTCATTTCTATTTTACTATCATTTGATTTCATAACTGATGATATGCCACTATTCTCCCTAAACAAGCCCTAAAACAACCATCTTCCTAAAAAAAAATTAGGAGTAAGATAGAATGGGGACCAAAAATACCACACTGTGGAAATATCAGGGCCCTTGCTACCTGAAACTCAGATAACTAGGGACGTTGAACCCGAATATCAGGGACAGACTGAAAGAAAAAATTACGATCAGGGCTTGGTGGTGAGCAAAATATGGGTTTTCAATTCAACCGAAAATATGTGCATATACATGTATATGTATTACAAATCAAATAAAATGTGTGTAATTATTTGTATATCTCACTAAAAAAACAGAAAGGAAAAAAGAAAGTTACCATTGTTGGGAAGAATCAAAAGAGGAGGAGGATTCATCAATTTTGAATCCCCATTCAGTCAAACCAGGAGGAGGAGACTTAAGCTCGCACCATTCTTTCAAGGAGATGCTGTTCCTTTCGATGAGGGTATCAAGAACATGAGCTTCGTAGAACCTTTTGATCCCACCACCATCCAATGCCTGAATAGTAATATAGTAGAATCGGCCATTTCTGAGCAGTTGAACCTTGGCATTGACCACACTATCAAACTCAAGATCCAGATTCTCCGGGTCACCGATGGCGAACACCGCGAATCGGCCTAGGAATTTGACGCGAGGGTTTATGTGAACGACTCGCTGTTTCTCCGACGGCGCAACACCTAAATTTCCCAAACCGCCTCCTCCTAGGGTTTCTCGAAAGGGCTTTGCTTCTTTCCTCCTATGATGATGCTCGACGAGACTTCCTTCCTCCGCCGGAAGGGTGGTGGTTCCGGTGGTTGTGGTGGTGGTGAAAAAAGACAAAGAAGGAATAGGATGATGCATAGTCAAATGTGAGCCCACGAAACCTAAATTCTTAGGGTTGCATTGCTTTCTGCCGCCTAGAAGAAGACAACGGAGGAAGAGGGCCATGAGTAAGATGCAAAGGCGCTAACTTGCTAGGGTTTTGAAAACTGTTCAATCGATTGAACAGAGGAGGGGGACACACACGGTGTGGTACTTTTGAATGGACTTTGGGCCTACTTTTTAGTCCAATTAGTATGGGCTAGCCCAAGGTCAGAAGGGAGATTATAACAGACGTCAATTGCCCAAACTGGGCTTACTTGGGCTGCTTTTGTTCTATTGCCCAATATTCACATACTAAAACACCTTTCCAATACTATTACAATTTTCTTAATTTTTTTAAAGTATATCCCTTAAAATATTATTTGAAAATTATATTTCTTATATTTCTGTGTTTGGCAGAGTTTTGTTAGGAAATTATTTTTCATATAAACTATTTTACCCCCAAATGATTGACAATGATTTACCAATTTTTTTAAAAAAAATTGGTACTCACATACACATGCCTCCACCAAAGCTCGAATCCCTGACCTCCTTTTAAGAACTAGGAGTTTAGTACCGTTGGGCCACTGGCTTGTTGGTATTTACCAAAAAAGTTTCCGCAAGTAATTTTTCGTAGGCTATATTGGATTATCTAATCATCCGTATTCTCATTGAACTCCTATGTCTCTTTAACAACTAATCTTTTTTAGGCCTCTCAGCCTAAAAATCTAATCTTTAGTCTTCTCTATATATATGTATACATAGAGTGAGAGGAGAGATAAATAGTGAAGAGAGAAAGAGTGACACAAATTTGGGTTAGTTGAGGAACATATTTGGGTCGATGACATATTTTGGTATAAAAAGAGAAAGTAATGAGAATGAGAGGGAGTGGGTACTAACCTGATGGTGAGGAACACTAAAGAAAGAGAGTTAATTATGTACAAATTGTTGATCTAAAAAATATTTTACGGACAACATTTTAAATGAAAATGTTTTGTTTAGAAAATATTTTATAAGGAAAACATTTTACGTCCAAATAAATAGAGCCTAAATATATTAGATGAAATAACAACTGAAATAAGTGAGGAAAAAATAATAAATGAATTAGATAACAAAAAAAAAAAAAAAAAATCAAGCAATTGAATTCCAACCTCAATTTAATCCTATTCACTCTAGAACGGTGATGTGATGTTAATTAATTAATTAATCATGAAATAACAGCAAAAATAAACTTGTTGATAAGAGCTGATAAATAATTTTCTTTTAGTCATCTTACCCTAAAATAAACAAAGAAAAACCCTAAGAATACAAATAATAATAAACAAAAAAACGAACATTTATAATAAAGCAAAAAAGAAAAAAGAAAAAAACTTAAAAAACACGAAAACATAATATTTTGATTACCTCTAAGAAAAAAGAAAAAAAAAAAAACTGAGAGCAACTTTAATGGTATTTTCTCCCAACAAATTTGATGCTATTGATCGAGCTCTGAAAAATATAAAAACATAAAGAGAAAAAAAAAAAAATAGATTCATTAATGAAAGAAGTAGGCTTATCCTAAATTTGAGATCCTTCAATCGCTTCGCTGCTTAGGCCCAGGTCCGGCCATAGTAGTGGTGGAGAGAGGGGGGCGATGGTGGAGAAGGGAGTGTAATGGACAATTAAACTAAGGTCAATTTTGTTTTTTAAATTGGTTACATCAGCATAATACCTATAATTGTCGTATTAAAGATGGGGTTGTTTAACAAATTTACAGCTATTGTCAATCAACCTTTCAACAGAGTATAAGAGTTATTTATTTATTATTATTTTTAAAATGTAAAATGTGGTTAGTAAATACTGTAAATTTTCAAAATCTTAATTCTTTGTATCTCTTACTCTCTTGATTCTTGAGATATTATTATATATATAAGGAGAGTATTTTGTATTGTATTTTATATAAGAAAAAAAAAAAAAAAAAAAAAAAAAAAAAAAAAAAAAGAAAAATCAAAAACAGATTCACCAATGAAAGAAGTAAGTTTATTCTAAATTTGAGAGTCTTCCAAACTGGAGGCCAGGGCCGGCCTTGCCGTCGTGGTGGTGGAAAGAGGGGAACAACAGTGGAGAAGGGAGTGTTAAAGACAATTAAACTAAGGTCACTTTTGTCTTTTTAATTGGTTACATCAACATAATACCTATAATTGTCGAATTAAAGATGGGTTGTTTAATAAATTTACTGCTACTGTCAATCAACCTTTGAACAGAGTATAAGAGTTATTTATTTATTATTAATTTAAAAATGTAATACGTGGTTAATAAATACAGTAATCTTAATTCTTTCTATCTCTTACCGTCTTGATACTTGAGATACTATGATACATATATGGAGAGTATTTTATATCGTATCTCGAGCAATTTTGAAGGTAAAACTGGTACAAACTTGTCTCTCTTTGGACGTGCCTGGAAGACCACTGGGGGATATGAGTTATATCTTGTAGTCATATTGGTCCGCTTTCACCTGCACATAGAGAGGTCACACGACTTTAAGAAAGTGTTTACATGCCTCTCATTATCTAAGTCAGTTATTTCCTATCTATTTTTTTCTTTTATTAACTTCCACTGTCAAATAATATTATATAGTTGAGATCATTTGTATTTTTGAATTCTATGAACTATTGTTATACTCATGTCTTGTTCAATTTAATGTATTATTCTGTGATTATTGAAAGTTTTGTTATTTCATGTTGAGGTATTATTTTTTTGATGTATTATTCATTTTGTATGAAGATAAATTCGATGTGTTATATTGTTAGTCTTGTAATTTAGGTGCAAATTTTCCAACACCTTTCGATGAGCAAGGTATCAAGAACATGAGCTTGGTATAACTTTTTGATCCCACGATCCAATATGCACACATACTAATATAGTAGAATCTCCCATTTCTGAGCAGTTGAACCTTGCCGCTGAACACACTTTTATACTAAATATCCAGATTCTCCGTGTCACCGATGGCGAACGCTGCGAATCGGCCTATGACTTTTACGCGCAGATTTATTTCAACATATCGCTATTTCTTTGACATCTCAACACCTAAATTTTCCAAACCGCCTCCTCCTAGGGTTTCTGAAAACGGCTTTGCTTCTCTCCTATGCTGATGCTCGTCGAGATTTCCCTCCTTCGCCGGAAGGGTGGTGGCTCCGGTGGTGGTGGTGGTAAAAAAAGACCAAGAAGGAATAGGATGATGAAAATGATGACGATGCCTAGTAAGGTGTGAGCCCACGAAGTGTTGCATTGGTTTTTGCCGCCTAAAACAAGACGACGGAGGAGGAAGGCCATGAGTAGAGATAGAAAGGCGCCAACTTGCTAGGGTTTTGAAATTTGTGAATGGATTCTGAACAATTACAACACGAACAAACAAATATATCAATTTTATTATAAAATATGAAAGAGTACAAGTAAAACACAATATGCAAAACATATTAAATGCTTATGGGATTTGTATTCCTTGATAAGGATGTTTTGTATTTGAAGCTTGTCTCATGTTATTTATGATTATTTGCATGTGAATTATAGAATAAAAATTTGATTTTACAAAGTCTCGTATTTTTTTCTTGCCAGAAGGAAATTAATAGCTTGAGTAGAGTCGAAAAAGGTACGTGTATAATTTATTTGTTTTATCTTTAATTTGAATTTATTGCTTATGTGATATGTTTATGTGCAGTTAATGCTGGAGGAAACTTAACGGGTAAATTATATGTACCTATACAATTATATACATAAAATATAGCTACACATAACGTTATTGAATTTGGGTGTCAATTTTGACGGGCCATTAGGCTACGCCTAGGAATTTTAATGTCATATTTTTATCTAGGAAAGGATGCTAAAGCAGGCTTGAACCAAGTTGAAGGCTACTTGAAGGATGTGATTTGGTGTCTATCCAATGGGCATTCCTTGGGACGATTAAAACCTTTCGAGATAGCTAATAATATAGTAATTATTATAATTACTATATTATAATAATATAGTCCGTAGTAATTTAGGAAGATAATTGAGTAGACTTAATACAAAAAACTGGTTTCAAGTTTACAGCTTTCTACTTGCATACCACTCTAAATAATTACAGAAGAGGGGGCAGGGCAAAACACACACACAAAAATCTGGCCTCGATCTCCCTCAAGCCAACACAACACAGTCAGTCCCAGTTTTACCTTCTCATCTAATGAGGGCTTTCTCAGCTAAGTACCACGAGGCTGCTGTCGATTCTCTTTCTCTTCCGTTCATTCTCTTTCTTCCGTTGTTTGTATCGACGACCTATCCCTTTGATTTGATCTGCGTTCCACTCCCCCCAAACAAAAGGGCCCTTATCCTGCTCAGTTAAATAAGCACAGATGGGCCCCCACCCCTGGTAGAATTTAGTTTCAAATTCTTCTTCCTCAAACTCAGGGAACTTCTCTTTCAAGACCTCAGTAGCTGTAGCTGCTGTATATATCGACTCATCTCCATTCAAAATTCCAACATGATAATTACACCCACCTTTTTCGTGCATTTCCTTTGCGACAACAATGGATCTGCACGTCAAGGACGATACAATTCTATCAATAACGAGCGTCTCAGTCAAATCCCCCCTTTCAGCATGTCGCAAGGTTAGTAGAATAAACTCTCCAAAAGATCTACCCTTCCCCTTCTTGGTGTTCACGCTGCAACGATCTGGGCTGCAGACGGCAATTGGCAACATAATCAATAATTTGTTATCTTAATAATAATAATAATAGTCCATAATAATAATTTCTCAATTTTCAATTATAAAAGGAATGGGCTGTTTACTCTCAGGATCATATTATACCCCAAAAAAAAAAAAAATTATAAAAACTATTATGAGATTGCAATGTCAAGAAAACGAAAGACGATATTTGTTTGAAGTAATAGCACATGGAAAGCATTTTTGAAATGCTGATACTGCCACAACATGTACTGGAGAAACTTTGTCTTGGCACAACATATCTGGACTACCAAACTAAAATATTTACATAACCATAACAAAAGCATCAATCACCACACACCACATTTAACTTAACAATCCGAGCAACCGTACATCATAACTAAAGAGTCCATAATAAAACTTTCCTAACACGACTAAACCCTATGCACAAAAATAAAATGGTCAGTCCACTAAAATAATGTCAAGTGTATCAGCAAAAATCCATACTGCAATTTAATATTTATTTACATCTGAACAGCAGCAGCAGTTTTGTTTACCTGACTCCAGCTCAGTCTTTGCCTGAAAAGATAAAAAGGAAGGTACAAGCATGGCAAACAACAACAACTTCATCTATTTCGGCGTATAAATGACCACTCTAATCATCTTGATTTACTGTCTTTCTTACCACTTCTTTTTTTTTTTTTTTATTCGACCAATGTTATTGATATAATGTGTCACGCCTTAAAATTTAAACACAGGACCACCAATATGAAATGTTACTCATTATATTCAAGTCCACAATAATCAATATCAACTAAAAAAAAAATCATCGTTGTAGCATGGCTATCCTCACAGATGATCACTCACGCAAAAATAGAAAAAACTAAATACCTCTAGTCCATCATGTGCCTTCTCCACGTACCAGCCCATTCTACAAATCACCTCAAACCAATATGACTTTCCACATGATTCCAACCTAGGGTTGTAAACAATATATACATATGTGTTTATATATATAAGCACTATTATACACGAATTTAAATCATATTTACAATCAGAATTTAAAATCACATGTAATCATGAGTTATTTAACATATTTCAAATATAAATCCACATACGGTATATTATACATTAAAGGGATGGCAATGGGGGACCCCAACCCCATCCATATTTTAGCATAGCTCCCCCAATCCCCGTCTAAAACTATTTATTAAATGGTGTAGGGGCAAGGTGCCGAGGATGGGGTCAAGTTTAGTTAGGTACTTTAGCAATTGTATTACAAATCTAAAGAAGGTAAATAATGAAACAAATTATCAAGCATGGTAATAATTCATTTCTTCTTATGCATATAAGAACAAGATTCAACTTCTCAATTGGAACTTGAGACTTAATATTATTGTACCAAAGAATATTTGACCTCTTGGAACAGAAAAACCTAGGATTAGGGTTTGTTTAATATATAGCTAATATTCTTTAGTATAAAAATAAAGTACAAGGACAAATTTGTAATTTCTCACCATGTCCCCGCCCCGCAACCTTAACCCCCATCCCCGCCCCTAGAACTTAACAACCCCATAACCGTTCTAAACAGGGTGGGGTATTTACCATCATATATTTGCATGCACAGTGCCTTTATTATTTTTTAGGATAAATTACACTGATCTTGCATGACATTTTTGCCAAATTACAAAAGGGTAGGGTGTTGTTTATTACTTTGACCCCTCTTGGGGTTTGGCACATGTGCTCAACAGCACCCATGCTGCTTTCTATCCATCAGAACTGTTAAAGAAATTTTACAAAATGACCATTTTATCCTTTTATTGTATGAAAATACAATAATAGTCTTAGTTTTGTAATGAAATGACAAAAAAAAAAAAAAAAAAAGGGAAAGTAATAATATGGATTAAAATGCCCTTAGGTGTTCATTATTCACATTTCTCTTTCTTCTCCAATTTCTCTCACATTCCCATCTCTCTATCTCCTGCAATTTCTCTCTCCTTCCCATCTCTCCATTTTCATCCGAACACTAGAAATCAATCACATATTTCATCACATCCTAGATGAACAATCAAAAGCCAAAAACAATCAGTTCAGATCTCCCATAAAAAGAAAAAAGAGAGATTTTGAGCACAAGCAACAGAAAACTGAAACTCTAAAGAAATGGGTTACCACATTTTCGTTCAATCAGAGAAGTTTCTTCACTAATTCAAACCGATTGGTACAGAAGAGGACACAAGCACAGACAATCCTTTGATTTGGCTTTGCAAAGGCTTTAAACTTTTCAAAACGTATCAGTCTCATTTGAGACTATGAAAGCGTGTCGAGAGTATATATGTTGAGTACTTGAGTGTTTTCAAATCCTGTGTATTGAGGAGAAAATTTAAGAGAGTTTGTGTTTGGAATAAGGGTGGATCCAAGGCCACCCCAAAAAAAAGAATTTTTTTTTTTACTAGAGGTAATTTTATCCCAACCCTAAAAAAAATAAAAAAATAATTAAAATAAAAATAAAAATAAAAAATAAAAAATAAAAAATTTAGTAGTACTAGCCAACCCCATTATGCATTTCTGGATCAGCCCTTGGTCTGGAACCAATTCATCCCGAATATTTTCCACTGTTTTTGGTCCAAACAAGAACAATTATGGACTGGAGTGGAAATAAGGTAGCAATGATATGGTCATTTTTATTTTACTAACATTTGATTTCATAAATGTGATGACGTGTCACTATTCTCCCTAAAAAAGCCCTAAAACAACAATCTTCCTAAAAAAATTGGGAGCCTTAGGTAAAAAATCCCAAATTGAAAGATCAAATTACAATATATACCAAAATCATATCTAATGATATGATTAAAATTGTAATGGGGTGATCAAATTGATGATAGTGAAAGGTAAGGATTTTTTGTCAGGGAGGATAGCTGAGGTAAAAAGTGCATTGAGGATGATGAAATGAGAATATTTTAGTACTATTGAGGCTTGAAAGTGTTTAAGACTATTCTACAACCTATATATGAAAATAAACAAACATCCAAAGCTAAAGAACTGTTATAATAAACGAAGATGGTGATAGTTCATTAAAAGGTAACGTTATAGAGAAAGGTGGGTAAGGGGGTTAGATGATTATGAAATTTTTGGAGTACCACGCAATTTCATGGTCAAGCCATATCTTATAACCTTGCTTAGTTGTTCCACCACATTGCTGCATTTGATTATTAAGGGCTCATTCTTTAAAAGGGATATAAGTGTACAAAATGGTACCAGAATGCTGAACTAGTAAAATAGAAGCAAATAAAGGACATGAGAGCAATTCTCTTTGTCAATTCAGGACTATTCTTATCAAAATATGGGTTTTCAATTCAACCGAAAATATGTGCAAATACATCTATATGCATTATAGATCAAACAAAATGTGTGTAATTGTTTGTATATCTCACTAAAAAAACGGAAAGGAAAAAAGACAGTTACCGTTGTTGTGAAGAATCAAAAGAGGAGGAGGATTCATCAATTTTGATTCCCCATTCAGTCCAACCAGGAGGAGGAGACTTGAGCTCGCACCATTCTTTCAAGGAGATGCTGTTCCTTTCCATGAGGGAATCAAGAACATGAGCTTCGTAGAACCTTTTGATCCCACCACCATCCAATGCCTGAATAGTAATATAGTAGAATCGGCCATTTCTGAGCATTTGAACCTTGGCATTGACCACACTGTCAAACTCGAGATCCAGATTCTCCGGGTCACCGATGGCGAACGCCGCGAATCGGCCTAGGAATTTGACGCGAGGGTTTATCTCAACGACTCGCTGTTTCTCCGATGGTGCAACAACTAAATTTCTCAAACCGCCTCCTCCTAGGGTTTCTCGAAAGGGCTTTGCTTCTCTCCTCTGCTCGACGAGACTTCGCTCCTCCGCCGGAAGGGTGGTGGTTGCGGTGGTGTTGAAAAAAGACAAAGGAGGAATAGGTTGATGCCTAGTCAAATGTGAGCCCACGAAACTTAAATTCTTAGGGTTGCATTGCTTTCTGCCGCCTAGAAGAAGACAACGGAGGAGGAGGGCCATGAGTAAGATGCAAAGGCGCTAACTTGCTAGGGTTTTGAAAACTGGTCAATCGGTTGAAGAGAGGAAGATATAACGCAGAGTGTCAGTGTGACAGTGTTAGTACTTTTGAATGGCCTTTGGGCCTATTTTTTACTCCAATTAGAATGGGCTAGTCTATTGCCCTAACTGGGCTTACTTGGGCTGCTTTTGTTCTGTAGCCCAATATCCACACTACATACCTTGGAGTACTATACAATTTTCTTAAATTTTTTTAAAATATCCATTTGTGACTCATTTTTTCCCCTAAAACTCTTTACATTAGATCTCTAAGTGCCACATCATAAGCTTTTTCTATCTAGGTTCCTTTCCATTAGTCTCCTCCATAACTAAATAACCTCCATAGTTAACCTCCCCACATGAATTCAAATTGGTCTAAATTTCACTTACAAATTTTATATTCATTTATATTTTATTTATAAATTTAATTTAGGGTTAATTTCATAAAACCCCTATTGTATTAGAAATATATGACGTGACCCTTACGTTTGCCATACTTACTCAGAAAATATCCATCAAACTATTAATTTTATGAGTATCACATCCATGTTAATAAAATTTTTGTCCAAAATAAATTTGAGCTCTAAGATTTAGATAGTCTCAGTCTCATGATCTCGAATACTTCAACCACACATGTAAAATTTTCAAGCGGGTATTGGGTTGGTCCCACTGTACTTTTACCAACAGTTCTTTTAGAAATGTGTGTGTGTATATATATATAAAAGCTTAAATTTAACACTAACCCGATAGCGTAAATGGTATCTTGGCCCCTCAGGTCCGAATTGAAGCCTCTGAAAAGGTTTCTCAAGTAAAAAATACCTACTGTGGGACCTAACCCTTGCCCAATTTAAGAGCTTGATCTGAATATGATCTTGAGGGTAAAAGTCATATTCCTTTTATAGTTGAAAATGGAATACAATAATTTCTTTTTTTTTTATAAAAATAAAAAAATAAAAAATAAAAAAAAACTGTGAAATCTTATTATGTTAAAATATTACTAATGTGCCTGGCTTGAATTTGAATTTGAATTTGTGGCATCTTCTTCTTCTTCTTCTTCTTTCTTTTTTCATTTTTTTTTTTTTTTAAATAGCATATGGATCAAGCAAGAGAAGTATAATCCAAAGTCAGAGCCTTCAGAAGTCACTGTGGACCCAAACGTGACACTCAAGGTCTATTTACTAATTTCATGGGCCACAACCAAATCCAAAACCCAAACAAAGATTGAGACAACAGGTTCTCTACATCAAGTAAAATAACCTGTAAAAGAAAATCCACAGGTTGACACTCACCCCCCTATATCCGGAAGAAAATCCCCTCTTGTGAATAAATTTGTTCCGTCCAGTTTAGGATGTATCTTACAAAAAAGGTTGGATACATCCCGAACTGGATGAAACAACAGGTCCTATTGTTCGACTAGAGATGATTCGGTCCCTCTATATCCATATCATGATAGCCCCATTTATGTAGCAATTTTATCTCTCCCCTTAGAACTAGAGCCTCAGCCAAACCTGATGAAGCCACATACAGTGAAAAAACCTGATGTAACTCTGACTAGGTTACCAATGGATCTAGTCTCTGCAACAACCTTTTTTTTTTTTTTTTTTTTCCTTAGTTAGTACTCACACACACATGCCTCCACTGAGGCTTGAACTCCTGATCTTCCTTTAAAAAGTAAGGATTTGATACCGTTAGGCTACTGTCCAATGGTTCCTCTGCAGCAACTTTATCCCTTCTCTTAGGACTAGAGCCTCTGCCACACCTGTTGAAGCCACGTAGCTGAAGCCACACCTGCCGAAGCCACGTAGCCGGAGTAACACCTGCCGAAGCCATATCAGCTAAAAAAAAAAGAGATGAAACTCTTACTAGGTTTACCAATGGGTCTAGCCTAAATGGTATAAGCTCTCATTCTCAAAGGGGAGGTCGACTGTTCAACTCCCAATAGGGACAAATTAAAATGGATGCATGTGACTTTGCTTAAACTTGCAGGAATATATATATATATATATATATATATATATATATATATATATATATATATATATATATCTCCTACTGGGTTGCCATCACAATTTGTCAATATAAGCCTCTATGTTCCCTGAAATTAGGGCCATGAATCATGGTGCTAGCCTCCCTCATTCGATAATTAAGGCTCATCAAGTTTGGTGGTTATGTTACAAAATGTCTTTATAGTTGTTCTTTTCCAATGTAATTCTGGCACAACTCTATTCAATGCCCGTGGTGGAGTGCCTCTATAATTGAAACCCGTAAGTTTGACAAAATGCCTTCATATTAGCACCCCATAAGTTTTGGAGCTAGCGCAACGATCGATTTACACCTATAATAAGAGATGTTTCAAAATAAGAAAGGTTGACTGACTGTATATTGGTAGCAATCAATCATTTGGTATGAGGAAGAATTCACAAGTAACATAAAAAGATCATTTGACATATGCGGAGCCCTAAACATAATTATTTGAACAAGTGGACAATGAGAGGAATGCACGCTATTATGACTACTGCAATGTCAAGAAAAAGAAGAAATTTGTTTAAGTAATAGCATTTGGAAAGCATCTTAGAAATGTTGATTCTACCACAGCATATATTGGCGAAACTTTGCCCTCAAAAAACCAATATGAGGTACAACATCTGAACTACTAACATGAGGTACAACGAGGACGACCTAAATTAACATGGAAATAGTTCCTGTTAGTGGCAAAATGAGGTAAAATAGATTTAAGTGGTATGAACACATAGAAGTTAGAACAAAGACTGATGATGCGCCCGGGTAGTTTGCACAAAAGGTAAGAAAAAGCGAGGACAACCCAAATTAACATGGAATTAAGTATTAAAAATGATTTCAAAACATTATATATAAGAGGAGACATTGTATATAATAGGATAGAGAAAGATAACTCATGTTGCCGACCCCATTAATTTAGAAAAAAAGACATGAATTGCGATAATGATGGTTCTTTTTGTTGGGAAACGTGCTAGTTTTAAAAACTTTTCGAGAGATATTCATTCACAGATCTTGATTCATCACATAAAGACGAGTTTTATGCAAAAATAAAATATGATGTATCATTCAATTAACAGATTGAATACTTATATCAAATATCTGAGTAAACCTTTAAATTTTTCTCTAAAGTGAATGTTCTCACTTATTGTAAATCCCTTAACAAGATGCTATCTCCATGGATCTCCATCTTATTGGTAATAATTTTGCCTTTAGGAATCACCCATAAGCCTCCATGAATGACCTAAGAAAACTAGGCTTGTGGGAGCCTCCAATAGATGAGAACATTAACCCTAATTTTCTAGAGAGAGAAAATATATTTCTTTTTTCCTCTTCTAAAAAATCACCCCTAAAATATACATATCCCATGTATATATATAGGCAACATAAAGATAAAGAAAAGGAAATAATAAATCATTCTCAATCTCTAATTCACATGTCTTAAATCTAATAAGATTCCAATATCAAGTTGGGCTATGAGTGAGAATTATTTGGGCTTATTATTTTATTGGTTACAATGAATTAATAATTGGCCCGATCCATAGACCGAATTCAATTAATTCATAAATTAATTTATACTCCACTAAAAGAAATTAATTGAATTCCAATTAAATAATAAATAGTCTCTAAGTCAATGTTGCACTTTGACCCCTCTATGCATAATTAGTTATCGAATAAATAAAGCCATCAATCCGACTACTTAATTAATATATTTATTTTGGTACCTTTGATTATTTCTGGCTCGATCACAATAAAACATTTATTTGACAAAAATAATAATTTAACTAAATAAATATATAATAAATCATTTTGTCTAAAAACACACGAAGGCCTTCGAATTTACTTTGTGATCAACTATAATTAATACAAAATAAATACAAGTAGCAATAATGCAAATATTGAAAATATAACCCTCTAACTATTAATTATATAACTACCCAAAGTGTCGGTCTAAGGATCCCGAAGTATCCGCCGAACAAATCAAAGTAATTATTAATTAATAAAAGAGTTTATATTTTTCTCATGCTTAAAAGTCAAATGCCATGACAATGATAGGGAGCAATTGCGTACTACGGCTCTCGTAATATATCTCAACCTAACGCAGATCCAGTTCAAGTCTTAATTAATTATGAGTTCATCCATAATTACCGGCTATGAACAATTTATAATTACTATTTATATTCATGTATTGATCGTCATCACACACACACACACACACACACACACACACACACACACACACATATATATATATATATATATATATATATATATCTCTTATAATCAAGTGGATACTATCAATTCTATAATGAATCGAAACATAATACATTGAATTCACCAATTGTATCAAGCATAAATATTTTAGAAACGTCAGGAACATATGTCACTATAATCCAAATAGGAATTTGTTATGTTAGGGCATATAAATCCCAACACTTTTCTACTACAAGTTATTTCTCTTATTATATTTTTATTTCTTACAATAATTTAAAATAACTTCATCCCATATTAATTTTGATTTTTTCTATTCATTCCTTATCTTCTCTACAAGTTAATCTCCCTCTTCTTACTGCATCCACATGTGTACGTTGTATATGTTTATAAAACTGAAGTTTACTTTTTTCTTATTTTATTACCAATTGGTGCTACTTTCGAAATTCTCTCTCACAATTAGAATATTGACCAGATATTTTCTAAACACTCCTATCATTGGGCTAAACATTCATGTATCCAGTTTGTTGTATCTTTTTTGGTGTTCAACATTTGCTAACCATCCGCACAAACTCAAGCTTTTTTGAATTGTCCTCCATGCGTCATTGATAATGAACACTCCAAATTGGGCGAGACGTTATTCTATCAATAACACATTTGATTTAAAGTTAGAAAAAAGTAAGAAGATAAAAGGCGATAGGTGGTTTGTGTTCAAAATTGTGGTCGGAAGCTTCATGCCTTCATTAACGGTCCGAAGTCACATAATGCTAGTGCGGCAGCCAAGGAGTAGACTGGTTTAAACTTATACAAAAT